TTTTGGCTGTCGGGTTTTAGGAGTTCCTTATATATTTTGGATATGAACACTACTAGTTATGAGGTTTGCATGTATTTTGTTTTTATTATTTTGTAGCTTTTCCTTTCAGTGTCTTGATGGTTTTCTTTAATGTGCAGAAGCTTTTTAGTTTTATGTAATCTCACTTGTCTGGTTTTGCTTTTGTTGCTTGTGCTTTAATGTGATGTAATGATGTCCTTTCCTTCATCCCTGGTATCGGTCGTTTGTGCCCTCTCTTTCTGTGTCTGTCTCTCTCTCTGTCAGTCTTGCTAGCCCTTTATCAATTTTATTAGTCTTTTCAATTGACAGACTTTTAACTTCTTTTTTTCTCTGTATTTTATGTTTGTTTTAGATTTATAAGTTTCTCCTTTCTCCTTTTATTTCCATCGTTCTGCTTTAGGCTTAATGTGCTGGGTTATTTTCCTAAGGTAATGGATGCTTAGATCATCTTCTTTTGTTTCTTTTTTTTTTTCTTGAGACAGGATCTCACTGTGTCACCCAGGCTGGAGTGAAGTGGCATGATCATCCTCCTGAGTAGCTGGGACCACAGGTGTGCACCACCAAGCCCAGCTAATTTTTTGTAGAGATGTAATTTTGCCATGTTGCCCAGGCTGGTCTCGAACTCCTGGGCTCAGGTGACCTACCCACCTCGGCTACCCAAATTGCTGGGATTACAGCCATGAGCCACTGTGCCTGGCCTTCTTTTTAATATATGTAGTTAAGGCAGCAGATTTTCTTTTAACTGTGGCTTTAGCTATACTCCATAAGTTTGTATATATGCTTGTAATTATTGAGTTTAAAATATTTCTAACTTTCATTGTAATTTTTTGAGCCATAATGTCTTATTTATTTATACATATATTTCCAGAAAGGAGAATTTTCTGGGATCTTGTTATTGATTTATAATTTAATTCCATTGCAATCAAAGACCATGCTCTCTAATTTTAATCTTTTGAAATTTGTTGAGACTTGCTTTTGGCCCTGCAAATCATCAGTTTTTGTAAGTATTCTTGAAGTACTTGAGTATATTTTGCTGTTGTTTTCAGTGTTTATCATATTCAATTATTTTCAGTTTATCAATTAAGTTGTTCAAACCTTCTATATACTTTGTGTTTGGCTGCTTATTTTATCTGCTACTAAGAGGGGTATGTTAAAATCTTCCATTATAATTGTGAATTTCTCTTTATTCTCCTGATTCTGTCAATTGTTGACATATATGGGAGGCTGTATTATTAAGTACATATAAATTTAGAATTGTCATGTATTCTTGGTGGATTGAAATTTACCATTGTGAAATGGTCAGTGCTTTCTCTTGTAATGCTTCTTGCTTTAGAGTCTTCTTTTTCTGAAATTAGTATAGCTGCATCAGATTTCTTTTGGCCCACATTGTACAGTATATATTTTCCATTCTTTTACTTCCATTTTTTTATCCTTGTGTTTAAAGGTACAAAACATAATGTACATTCTTTATAAGGAGAATGTATATATACACACACATACATATGTACATATATATACACATATATATGTACATATATACATATATATGTACATTATATATATATGTTTTCTTCAGTCTGACAACTTTTTTCTTTTAATTGCGGTCTTTAGGCCATTTATATTTAATGTAATGACAGAGATATTTGGGTTTGGGCTTAAATATACCACCTTATTATTGGCTTCCTGTTAAGTTATTCTACATTCTTCTTTCTCTTTTTTCTTTTCCTTTCCTCTCTCTCTCTCTCTTTCTCTTTTTCTTTTTCTTTCCTTTATTTCTTTGATTTAAATTGAGACAGGGCCTTGCTCTGTCACCCAGGCTAGAGTTCAGTGGCATGGTCATAGTTCACTGTGACCTTGAACTCTTGGACTCAAGCAGTCCCCCCATGTCAGCCTTCTGAGTAGTTGGGACTACAGGTGCCTGCCACCACACCTGGCTATTTCTTTTTTAATTTCAATTTTTGTAGAGACGGAGTTTGCTATGTTGCCCAAGCTGGTCTCAAGTGATCCTCATGCCTTGGCCTCCCAAAATGCTAGAATTACAGGCCACTGTACCTAGTCATCTTCTCTCCTTTCTTGCCTTTTTATCATTCTACTTTTCTTCTCCATTAGGTTGTTAAATTTGTGGAGATTTACAGCTTTCATCTTTGACTTATTAAAATCTAATGTAAATCAGTATTATATCACTTCCTGGAGAAGACAAGAACCTTAGGAAGCTTTACTTCCATTACTCACCTCCTAGGTTAAGCATTATTATTATTATTATTGATATAGTAATTTTTGCTATATATGTTAAAACTCACAGAGTTTACTACTCTTACCATTTGGATCTTAACATATCGTTACCCTTTATGTTGCTCTTTGTTACTTTCTGTGTCTCTGGGTTTATAGCTGGGGTCATTTTCCTCCTGCCTGAAGAGCGTCCTTTAGTGTCTCCTGCAGTGTGGGTCTATACGTGACACTCGGTGTAGTGCAGGTGATAAACAAAAAGCAGCTTTCGTTTGCTGAAAATTTTTGTTCTCCTCCTTTCTTTTTCTTTTCTTTTTTTTTTTTTGAGACAGAGTCTTGCTCAGTTGCCCAGGCTGGAGTGCAGTGGTGCAATGTCCGCTCACTGCGAGCTCCGCCTCCTGGGTTTACGCCATTCTCGTGCCTCAGCCTCCTGAGTAGCTGGGACTACAATTGCCCCCCGCCACTACGCCCGGCTAGTTTTTTTGTATTTTTAGTAGAGACGGGGTTTCACTGTGTTAGCCAGGATGGTCTCGATCTCCTGACCTCGTGATCCGCTCGTCTTGGCCTCCCAAAGTGCTGGGATTACAGGCGTGAGCCACCGCAGCCGGCCTCCTCCTTTATTTTTCAATAATATTTGTACTAGGTATAGAATTCTAAGATGAAAGTTTTATTTCTTTCAGCTGTGGCTTCCATCATTTTCCTGAGAGGTATAGCTATCAGTATTGTAGCTACTGGTCTCTAACTACATCTAAAACTATCTGCAGTTTTTAGCAGTTTACTCTGATGTGCCTTGCTTTGACATGTATGTGTATATATGTGTGTCTACACACAAACACACATGGATATACACCCACATATATATTTCTGTTTGCGGCTCACATAGACATAAATATATATATACACGTATATTTCTGCTTGTGGCTTGCACATATATATACACATACATGTAGACACACACATTTATGCATATACATGTCAACACATACACATATATATTTCTGCTTGTGGCTCAGGATAATTCTTGAATTTGTGGCTATATATCCATCATTGATTTTGTAACATTGTCAGCCATTCTGTCTTCAAATATTGCTTATCTTAATCTATTTCACTTCTTTTGGAACTCAGATTACATGTATGTGTAAGAGCATAGGAGAATGTGTTTCATATGTCTCTTCTGTGCTTTGCTTTACTGCATTAGTTATTTTTTTTCTTTTTATGCTTCATTTTGGATTTTTTTTAACTTATTTTATAGTTTCCTTAATCTTGTCATCAGCTGTGTCTCATATTCTGTTAACCTATGTGTTGAATTCTTAATTACTCTTACTGTCTTTAAGTTTCAGAATATCTATTTGATTTTTTTTTATTATTTCTAATTCCCTGGCAGAATTCTCCATCTTGCCTTTTTGTTCCTTGAATCTATCAGTCAGAGTTATTTTAATCACTGTTTCTGAATAGCTTGATTAGACAGATCTCCTGTGCATTTATTTCCATTTTTTTCCCCTCTGGCTTTGGTGAAGTTTTGTCTTTTTGTATGCTTAGCTATTTTGTTTGAATGTCTGAGAGTTTATATGTGTATTTGAAATAATTATAGTGGTAATTTGAGACTCTGGATAATGGTATCTTCCTTCAGAGAATATTTTCTCTTGCTGCTGGAAATTGGATAGATAGGGACTGATCACTTTAATCAAACTAGGAATTGAAATGGCCTGAAGCTGAGTTTCCACTCTTGTGAAGTCTGGACTGTCTCTTGTTATTACAGCGAGGGTATAACTCTTTAGGGTCCCGACCAAAGGTTTGGTGTATGTACCGTGGCCCTTTCCTGGTAGGTCCTGAGCTCAAATTTGGGTCTTTTTCCCTGTTATAAAATTGCCAAAAGTTCAGCCCATCTTCTGAGACTTCCAACCACCATGTTTGGAAATGAAATATGCCTTGAAGGAAAAAAACTGCCAAATGCTGGCCTTGCAATCTTTGCAGATCTTGGCCCCCCAGATTCTCAGTCAGAGTGCCCTTCTGTTGCCTTCAAACAGATGTGTGCGTGTATGCACCTGTGTTGTTTTGTCCAGCTTTTCTAATTGTTCTCAGTAGGAAACAGGGCTAAGAAACCTAGGTGACGTTGGTGGAAGCAGAGGTGCTGGGGACACTTACCATAGAGTAGAGCATAAAGACCTTATCGTGAGCACAGGATCTGGTCATTATTGATGGTTAAATGGCTGGGCCTGCCGTGAACTCTTCTATGGCTCAGTCTTCATCTTTGAAATCACTGCATCCCTAGGACAAGTTTTCTCACCATCACGGTGTTGACAGTCCGGGCCAGATAATTCTGTGTTGTCGGGGGCTGACTTGTTCATGGTAAGATGTTTTGTAGCATGCCTGGCCTTTGCCCACTAGATGCCAGTAGGACTCTACCCCACAGCTGTGGCCACTGAAAATGTCTCCAGACATTTGTACCTGTCCCCTGGGGTTCAAAATCACCCCTGGTTGAGGACCTGGTGTAATGTAAGTGGTGCTCCGATAAAGGCCATTCAACATGACTCACTATGTTGATGTTATGTTTTCTTTTTTTTTTTTTTTTTTGTTATACTTTAAGTTCTAGGGTACATGTACATAGCGTGCAGGTTTGTTACATATGTATACTTGTGCCATGTTGGTGTGCTGCACCCATCAACTCGTCAGCACCCATCAATTCGTCATTTACATGCATTGGGAGTTATACCTTATGTTATGTTTTCTAACATTGACTTTCCTTTAAACCATAGGGTTTGAAACTGCCAAGTCTTTTGCCCTCCATGGTGCACACGTGATCTTGGCCTGCAGGAACATGGCAAGGGCGAGTGAAGCTGTGTCACGCATTTTAGAAGAATGGGTAAGCGCTTGACTGTTGTTTTTTTTTTTTAATTGTCAAATACACATGCCGGGCTAACCACATGGAGATTTTAGTGCAGTGTGTAAAGTTTATTGCTCTTGGAATCATGTCTTTGTTTTTAAAGTCATCTTCACTTTGTTTGTTTTATGAATGAAAGCATGAGCAAGTCCATTATTATTCACGCATTTGTTTATAGTTCATTGTCAGTGTCATCTGCTTTATTAGTCAGGAGTTTGAGAATGTTTATTCGTTTAATTCATTTATTAAGAAAAATAAAACGTGGTGAACGCCCATGATTGCAACTAGGAGACTGTTATGCTTATGATTTTTAAGATTAGAAGGAATTAGGCTTTAACTCTATCTCTGATTTCTTACTTTTCTCTGTCTATATAGAAGTTGATGTTGATATGTGTCTACATAAGTATTTATTGAGGGCTTGCATTAGTCTTGGGACCAAGGATATAGTATTAAATGAAACAGAATCCCTGCCCTCGTAGGCTTACCGTCTAGGTAAGAAAAATAGACCATAATCAAGTTTAATATTTACCATAATATTAATAAATAAAGGACAGTAAAGCAGAGGAAGATGAGGGGAGTGACAGCAGAGCATGATGGAGTCATCAGCAGGGAGCCTTCCAAAGTTGTGACATTTGATCTGAGACCTGAATGAAGTAGAGGTAAGCCATGCAAATGTCAAGAGAAGTACTCTCTTAGCAGTGAGAATAGCATATGCAAAGGCTCAGAGGTAGGCACAGGCCTGGAGATTTCAAGGATCATCAGGGAAGCTGGTGTGGGTGGAGATGAATGGACTGGGTAGGAGAGGTGCTCTTGGGGGATGGGTGTCTGGTAGACTCTGAGATAGCGATGAGGAAGACATTAGAGGGTTTGAGCTAGAGAGTGATGTGAGCTGTTTGATTTTTGAAACATCACTGCACTTTAGCATGAAGCCTAGGCTATGGGTGCTGGGGTCTACTGTTAAGGACAACAGACGTTGCCACTGTTTTTGTAGAGCTTTCAGCCTATCGTGGAAGACTAATTTAGTAAAAAAAAAAAAAAAAAAAAAAAAGCACAGATCTTACTGTAAACTTGAAAAAACAGTGAGTGGTCATAGGAATCAGTAATGATGCCAGGGAGTTGGGAGACCTTTGGAGTCCCCAAGGAAGAAGTGATTGAACTGAGATCTCAAGAAAGACCTGAGGAGGGTGGAGAAGGGTCAGAATGGGTAGGGGAATGGCAGGTGCAGAGGCCCTGGGAGAAGGGGGAGGAGGAGACAGAGCAGAGCCTGAGGGGGGCTGGATACACCCTGCAGAGGCCGTCTTCATTTTCGAATGCTGTGAAAGATTTCTTGCCATTTGAAGAAATAGACCACAGTGTACTTAAGAACATTTTTGGTACTCTGGAGTGAAAAGTTATGAAAATACAGAAAAGGAAGATTTATTTCTGCTTTTTCAGTGTATTTATGATGAAATATTTGAAATTCAGTATATTTGAAATGAGCCCTTGTCTTGAGCTCACTGGACTTACTATTTTGGGTTAAATATGAAAGAAAGCAGAGTGTTATTTTTTCTGATGATTTTATTGTCTTTCTGACTAAAGTAATAACCTCTAGTAGGTGGGATAGTAGTAATCTTTAGAGATGTATCGAGAAGAGTACAAATGGGAATACGTGCGTCTTATTTGAATCTACATGCAGAATGGAAAGGTGAAAAATGAAATGTGAAAGTGTTTCTTGGTCCTTCTCTTGGAAGATAAACGTTATTAACTATTTTGTGTATTCTTCCAGAAAAAGGTTATATATATACCAACAAACACACTCACATTCTGTTCTGTACTTTTTTTTTTTTTAAGTTAGTACTACAGGAGATCTCTTATTAGTGCATATAGATCTACTTCATGGTTTTAACTGCTGCATAATATTCCATCATATGCTTATGCTATAACCAGTCTTCCCTTTGGTGGCCATTAGGTTATTGGCATTGTTTTGCTATTTGTTATTCCAAGCAATGGTGTTTCACAGTTCTCTCTTTCTTGCATCAGTCTTTCTTACAATTTCATCTGATACTGGGTCTAAACTATGTGGCTGTGAACATTCTTTATTTATGCATTTGTGAGTAAACGCCTAAGGGAGAATCTTAGCAGTGGACTCCTTGATTCAAAGGGCATATGCATTTAAAATTTTGGTAACAGTTCCTGAGTCATTTTCTTTTTCTTTTTTTTTTTTTTTTTTTGAGAGTGAGTTTCACTCTGTTGCCAAACTGGAATGCAGTGGCATGATCTCGACTCACTGTAACCTTCACCTCCCAGGTTTAAGCGATTTTCCTGCCTCAGCCTCCCGAGTAACTGGGACTATAGGCACACATCACCACGCCCAGCTAATTTTTGTATTTTTAGTAGAGACAGGATTTCACCATGTTGGCCAGGATAGTCTCAATCTCCTGACCTCGTGATCTGCACACCTAGGCCTCCCAAAGTGCTGGGATTACAGGTGTGGGTCACTATGCCCGACCTCCCGAGTCATTTTCTTAATCTTGTTGCTCCAATTTCCATTCCCACTGACAGTGTAGACAGACAACTGTTGAGGGCTTGCAGTGTTCTTGGCACTAGCAGGATGGCATGTCAAAATTGTAAAACTCTGCCCATTTGATGTAATATTTGAAACTGGAACGGTAAAATTCCAGGGACCCTAGTGACACTATAGCAACCTGATTGTACAGTGACATTCGTGTTTAAACCAGTCTTGGAGGAGAATGCTATAGCACAACTGGTTTTGCATCATTAAGTTTATCCTCTTCTTTTCTGAGAACACAATATATATGAGAACACGTTCATCTGCATTTATCCTATTTTAATTATTGTTTGATGCTTAGAGCAGAAATTCCTGGACCAGCCCCAATTAGCAATAGGACCTTGGGTAAGCCTCTGGATCTATTTGTAGCTTCTGTTTCCTCATTTTTAAGGAAAAAGGTTGGATGAGATGATCTCAAAGACCCACTGTTGAGTCTTTCTTTCTTATATTTTGAGCCATAATTGGGTCCCTGTGTGTCAATTTCAGAGGATAGAATTTACTGTTGTATACTTTTACTCTAACATATAGTACCTTGAGGTAGACTAGTGATCCCAGACTAAGAATTATTGAAAATCATTCACTGTCGGGGACACGGAAAAAGGAAAATGGAACAGAAACAAAACTAATACATGTGACTCCGAATGTTTAAAATTAGATTTGATAGGTTGTAGGCTGGAGAAACTCAACCTGTTCATCATCTCTCATCTGTTCACTTGTTCTCCGTGTATGCCGTTATATTGTGCTCCTCATTTCCCCAAGACGATGATTGTGGAAACTCAAATTTAGCACCAGAAACTGTCGTTACCATTTCATTCCATTGCACCATTCATACCCTGCAGAGAGGATGTGAAGTCGTAAGGCCTTCTTGCTCTGGTGACCTCTTAGGCTTGGTCTCTGTGTCGTCCCCCAACTCCCTGACCCTTGATATTTGCTGGTCTGCTTCCCTTCAGGCCTTTCCTCACCTCACATCTCTGTGCAAGGATTTCATCTGGCGTATCGCTAAATATTACCTTCCTGTGTTTCTCAAGGGCAATTTGATAGACTCCAGTTTTTGAAGCTGCTGGCCAGCTTGAGCGTATTCATACATTATCTACGATGAATCACATCAGTGTTGGGGCCGGGAAGGTACTGAAACATACTGGCGCCTCATGGGAGGCTCTCAAAATGATTCAAAGTTTTTTGTTGCAGCAAAAGCTCGTTCAGAAGTCTCTGGGCCGTTTGGCTTAGCGGAGGCTCTCATGTGCCAAGGCTCCGTGGGCATTCTTAGCTCTGCTTCTGGAGATAAGAGTTCATTCCTCCATCCCAACTTGTTCTTCTCTACCCATTCTTCCTCTTCCTGCCTTCACTGCACATTCCAGGATTGCCAAGTTCTAGAACATTCATGTCTGCCTCTTAGCCAGCGGAATGCTATTCTCACATCCACAATGGGACAGCTAACAGCCCTCATTTATCAGATCCCTGTCATGTGCTGTGTCAGGCACTTTATATCCCTTATCCAGGAGGATGCAAAAACTTGGTGCTTTTTTTTTTTTTTTTTTTTTTTTTGCATTTTACAGATGAGCCAAGGGATGGCTCAGAAGGGTGAAGGAACTCACTCAAGTTGCACAGCTGGTGAGCTCAAAATCAGGTCCCTTGCTCGGTCCATGTGGCTTCCAAACTCCAAGTCTGTCTGCTGCACCCCATGGCCTGTCTTTTCTACTGTGTTTAGTATCAGTGTTCATACTTTGCGGATTTTGCTTTCAAATTCTCTAGCTGCGGTTTGAGTGATTAATTTCAGGATCCATCCTATTTCTTAGACGAAGCTACTCTGGTCTACCCTGTCATCACTTTATATTCAAGATATCCTTTATAGAGCTCTCATATTACTTTTGGGGAGATGCAGCTATTTAATAAAATATAACTTAAGTGAAAACACATTCCCTATAGAAGTATATTAAGAACCTATATGTAATTACTAGGACTACTAATTATTTCATGGGAAAATGCCCTCCTGCTGAGATATTTTAGATGCTCCAAAGTTAGAAGTAAGAAGAAATGAAAACAATTAAAATAGGATAACATGGACAGTACAGAAGTAAACTACTGTCTTAAAAGGCTAATCCATTTGGCATAATTAAAAAGGAGGAGGAGGGGGAGGCACATCAGCCCCCATTCATGTTTAAATAAAGAAAACGGGACAGTGGGGCTTGTTCCTGTGTTGTGGAACAGTGCACAGATGTGATCTACCTCATTCACATCCTTATGTGAATTATACACTGGTGCCCTCACCTCTTAAGACAAACACCTAACATTTTCCTGTGTATTCCAAGAGGCCAGTGTGGCTGGCGGAATACGATGTTTTCCTGTTTTCAAGATGGGGTGGACTCTCTTTTATTTAGCAGTGGTATCTACATGTTAGGATTCCATGTGAGTTCTCTAAGTCTGGGACAATGAT